CTTTAGAGTCAAGTGTGTTCTAAAGATGGTGAAACTTTCAACTTGTTACTCGTTTTGGTTTGGACGGCGCGATTTTTTAAAGGGCAGAGGGTAGTTCTACGGAAACATCAATTTTGAGCCCAACATTGAAAAAGCTCGCATAGCTCAGCATTGCTGGCAATTTGGATGAAACTTTCCGCATCTTTAGAGTCAAGTGTGTTCTAAAGATGGTGAAACTTTCAACTTGCTACTCGTTTTGGTTTGGACGATGCGATTTTTTAAAGGGCAGAGGGTAGTTCTATGGATGCATAAATTTTGAGCCCAAGATTGAAAAAGTCCGCATAGCTCACCAGGGGGGGCGATTTGGATGAAACTTCCCGCATCTTTAGAGTCAAGTGTCTTCTAAAGATGGTGAAACTTTCAACTTGTTACTCGCTTTGGTTTGGACGGCGCGATTTTTTTAAATGGCAGAGGGTAGTTCTAGGGAAACATCAATTTTGAGCACAACCTTTAAAAAGCTCGCCCAGCTCAGCATTGGGGGCGATTTGGATGAAACTTTCCGCATCTTTAGAGTCAAGTGTGTTCTAAAGATGGTGAAACTTTCAGCTTGTTACTCGTTTCGGTTTGGACGGCGCGATTTTTTAAAGGACGGAGGGTAGTTCTAGGGAAACATCAATTTTGAGCCCAACATTTAAAAAGCTCGCATAGCTCAGCATTGGGGGCGATTTGGATGAAACTTTCCGCATCTTTAGAGTCAAGTGTCTTCTAAAGATGGTGAAACTTTCAACTTGCCACTCGTTTCGGTTTGGAAGGTGCGATTTTTTTAAGGGCAGAGGGACCTTTAGAGTCAAGTGTCTTCTAAAGGTGCATTTTCAATAGGGCTTACCTAGGAGTATACATCATGGCAATGGAGCTGAAATAGCCACTAGTGATTGCCATCGTGGCTGCAACCACCCAGTAAACATAGTCGTTTGTGATTAAAACCGGCAAAATCCTGGTCTGCATCTGCGGCTGATAATTGCAAAACAAGTAGAACGGTATGTACAGCAGCCGGAGCGTTGAAATGATCCATAGGTATTTTTTTGAGGGCTGCAATAAAGGCGGTTTGAGTGAAACTCGCGTTGCTGTGAAAAGTCCTCCGAACTCACCCAAACGAATAAATTCGGAAGAATACTGCCGATCATCGCAAACACGTTGAACGTGAGGAAACACAGGATTTGTGTGTACAAAAACTTGTCCTGGATGAAGAACTGGCTGCTGCTCACTTTGATATCTGAAGCAACGAACAGCGGTGAAGATCAAGCCGTTAGGCTGCTGCTCCCTTACCTGAATGAATAGACGGGTAGACTGCAAGAGTTACAAAGAATATTATAAAAACGTTGTACAGTTGCGGCCAAGCCTTCTTGATGATCTTCAAGTAGGGCACTTTTTCAGGAGCGTCGGCGTCAGTTTTCCGCAGTCCCTGCTGCTTCTTATCTTTGATATCGTAATGCCGATAGAATCTCTAAACAGTTTCAATGGTGACTAGACAAGTTGGGGACCTGGGAAAATCACTCACATTAAGCGGAAGCGCAAAGTAGGTATCGAAGCCGATCAACAGCACGAAAAGCGCAGTGATAAAGTACCAAATTGCAGCCATTCGCTTACTGGTCGACACATATTCTGAGACTATGCAGACCGCAGTGGTAAATGTGCCGCAAATGTTGTTTCCCAATATCACAGCCCCAGTGTACTTTGGGGGCAGTTTAGCTGCCATTCCATATACGGTGTTTTGGTACACTCCATTCGCCACTAAAAATACATTAGCCAAGTGTGGATATCGTTTATTTCATACAACGTTTCGGCGATTCAACAGCGCCATCATCAGATTTACAATTCAACACTAACTCATAATTTTCCTGTGTATGGTTGGTTTTTGAAAATTTATTTTTGAAACTCGCTCTTAACAGACACTCTGGTGATTAAAAAATTGTAATCTTTCAGGAAAATGCACGATTGCACTGGGTTTTGTCGCGTTAGTAAAGGAAACGGCACTCTTTTCAATGCTGCAACACGCGCTTTTGTATCTCAATCGGTTTCTTGGGAATTTATATTTGAAACTCACTTTGAAGCTAAACATTTAAGCCCCATTTAATACGCACTCTGATGATTAAAAATTTGTAGAAATTCAATCGAAAGAGCCGTTGAACTAAATTTTGGGGCATGAGTACCGGAAGAAAGGCTCCTTCAAAGGCCACAACATGCGCTTTTATACCTTGATAGGCTTTTCAGTGACACATTTTGCGACACTTACTCTGCATGAGCTGCGCTCATAATGGGAACTCAGATAATTAAAAATTTGTACTTGCTTCAAGCCGATTTTGAGATATTTTACAATGAAATCTCCAACATTTTTTGAACGTGCAGAATTAAAGCGGTGAAGGTATCAAGTTGGAACGTAGCGCCCCATAGAAATCTTGCCTCTCTCTTAGACTCCAATGTGTGCGAGTGAGACTACCGATGCCAGCCAAGTTCCAGAATAGGAAAATAGTTTTATGTTAATTCGTTCGAGTCAAATAGTTTGCTTCCTTGAATGTGGACTGGGCTCTGAGGATGCCTGCCAGGCGTGCGAGAGAAACGTCAGCACCAAATTTCTATGGCCGAGGACTTAAAAATCCGTGAATTTGCCAAAATTTCATGTTTCATGTTTTTTCGGAGGCAAAATGAGCAAGAACGCTCATTTGTACATCATTCTAGGCAGAAATAAATGGCCTTTTTAGAAAATGCACCATCGATAAGGGAATGTTGGCAGTTTTCTCAAAAAATGCTTGAATTCAAGAAGTTTTAGATTTGCGTGGTTTTTTTTTTGTTTGCAAAATCCAGTTGAACATGACGCTGCTTTTTTCGAGGTTTCTCAAGAACCATTTGAGCCACAGAATCCGTTTTGGCATCGTTGGATAGAGAATTAAAAACTCGATTCGTCGTAACAACGTGAGTGAGGAAACTCGAGTAGTTTTGGCCCAGAAAGCGAAATTTGAATATCAGACACTTAGGTGCAAGATCATGCCAAAATTTTGTTTTCCGTCTCGTTTTTGCTCATATCTCGGAGACAAAATGAGCATGAACGCTCATTTGTACATCATTCTAGAGATAAATAAATGGCCTTTTTAGAAAGTGAACCATGGATGGGGAAATGTTGGCAGTTTTCTCAAAAAAGGCGTGAATTCAAGAAGTTTCAGATTTGCTTGGTTTTTTATTGAGTTGCAAAATCCACTTGAACATGATGCTGCTTTTTTCGAAATTTCTCAAGAACCATTCGAGCCACAGAATTTGTTTTGGCATCGTTGGATAGAGAATTGAAAAGTCGATTCAATCGGAACAACGTGAGTGAGCAGATTCGAATAGTTTTGACTCAGAAAGCCAAATTTGAATATCACACACTTAGGTGCAAGATTATGCCAAAATTTCATGTTTTCCGTCCCATTTTTGCTCATTTCTCGGACATTTTTCATTTTCCCCCTGAATCCTCCCTTGCAAGAAGGGAGTTTACCTCCACATGCCCAACAAGGTTGAGTAGCCAGTTTGATTGGAAAAACCCCTTTATTTACAGAAACGGACAAAATTGCCTCGGTTCTTCCACTTGGCGTCTCAGCAAAAGAATCTAATGTTTCCCAATTATGGGTTTGTGTTGAATTTTAAATCTGATGATGGCGCTGTTGTCTCGCCGAAACGTTATACGAAATAAACGATATCCACATTTTTATTTGAAGAGAAACAAAACGCTTCGAAGAAACCCATTTCAACGCCACATCGAATAATACATATAAAGCGCGCATTACATTTTAGTAGTAAACAGACTGCATTTTTCCATAAATTTTGTTTATGAATCAGTTTGCTACTAAAATCTAATGCATAATTGTGCAACATTTCAGTGGCAGTTCTGGGGCGATTGGTTAAATCTACGTCCAATGAAGGATGGGTTTGGATCGGGACTTCGGCTCGGCCTGCCCAAATGCCCGATTTTTCACCCAGTGAACGCGACTTTTACGCCTTTTCCAGGCTCCAAAATTTTGCCTCAATTATCAGCTAATACCTAATACTTACTGTTTAAAAAAACCACAGTAATCATAGTGATAAAGAAGAACGAATAAGGCCACATGCTGGTATCGACCATAGCCAAGGCTATGGTTATTATAAAGATCATGATGTTTATTACTATGCTCCACATGATTCTGAGAGTCAAATCACCTCTGGAATGGAAAAACACATTAGGGTTGAATGGGCGGGCAAAAGGGCGACTTACTTGATAGGCACGAAAATGTTGAACCAGTTAAAAATAACATTAGGAACTTGTGAACAAAACGTCAAAATTTGCATAAAATTCGCTACATAGGGGAAGTTGAAGCCAATAGAGTCCTTGCCCAGTTTGTACACAATAAAATACTGAAACAAGGCGAGTTTCAGTGGGGAATTGATCGGTTTTCCGCGAGGTGAAACTCACCGAAATGGCATTGATGAACATATTCCAAGGCAACAAAGTGGCGATACCATGTATCAAAAATATGATATAGACGAAGGAGTATTTGTCTCGTGGGGTGTGGATCTGTAGGCTGGCGTTATCCATTGTGAGATTGTTGAAATTGAGCTCGGCCTCCGATAAATCGTTCCCTTCCCAAGACGGCTGCAGTTTAACTGGCTTCTGAAGATGCGTCCTTTCATGGCTCTCCTCTCCGCCAACAACTAAACAAACGAGAATTCAATTAATTGCCCTTTACCTGTCTGCCATCGGCCCATCATTCCGATGATCGATCGCAGCAGGTCAATCACTGCCTTTCCACCTAAAATCTTCTTCATGCAACAGGATGAACACGCCGAACTTGTTCTACTTTAATGCAGTTTCATGTACTCATTTCCCCAATAGATTGGGCTTTTTTAGGACAAGTGCAATTTTGCGGGACGTTTCGTCAGCTTTAAGGACCGATATCTTCAGAGGTCATGTCAGGGGCAAAGAATATCAAGCGCATTTTTTCCTTCAATGCAAAATTGCATTGAATCAATGCATTCCAATTTGCATATGAAAATTCCAGTCTTTGAATCTTTTGCATCTCGATTACATTCAGTATATTTCCCAACAATTAATTGCAATATTAAGAGCCTTTCCACTAAAGTGTTTTTGCTCCCAGCTGAAACTTGTTTTGAAGTGTCTGCAGTTGCGTTAAAACGCTCATATTTCAACCAATATTTTCAAATGGCGCAAAATTCAGCGTTTTATGCCATTTATGTGAAACACTGAGAGTCTTTAGATTCATCTCTCCTTTATAGACTGTGAAAAATTCAAGTTTGTACTTGCTCTCAGCTGAAAGTTAGAAGTTTTTTTTGAAGAGACTGCACTTGCGTTGAAACGCTCAATTTTCAACCAATATTTGCAAAAGGCCGCACAATTCAGCGTTTGATGCCATTTATGTAAAACATTGAGAGTCTTTAGATTCATCTCTCCTCTATAGACTGTGAAAAATTCAAGTTTGTACTTGCTCTCAGCTGAAAGTTAGAAGTTTTTTTTGAAGAGACTGCACTTGCGTTGAAACGCTCAATTTTCAACCAATATTTGCAAAAGGCCGCACAATTCAGCGTTTGATGCCATTTATGTGAAACATTGAGAGTCTTTAGATTCATCTCTCCTCTATAGACTGTGAAAAAT